GTTGTTAGTGTAAAAGGGGTTTTCTGCCTGCAACCAAACAAGCAACCTGCAGACCCACGCTGCGCATGAAAAAAGGTAAGGGAAGTGCAGAAGTGTGTTGGCCTTTGGAGGGTGAAAGGTAAACACACCAGAGTTCATCTCTTTGTGTCTTTCTGCTGGAAATTCCAGCTTGCACTCCCATGTTCATGTAACCCTGAGCAGCCCAGCATATTTACAGGCTGTGCCTGTAAATACGCACAGGCTGTGCCTCTCTTATTATTACTCCTGGGTGTCTGCCCTGGGACTTTCCACAAGCACTTGAGAGGCCCGGGGGTGCATGTACACAGAACTATATAGACTGTCACACAAGCCTGGGAAAGCAAGGACCAGTGGGTGAGAAGGTGTGTGCAAAATCTTCATCCTAAAAAACAAAACAACTTAAAGAGCTGAAAGCCCTGAGCATCAGCAAGCTATTAATAGTGGCTGTGAGGCCAATGAGTGCACTGACTGCTCTAAATTAATGCTTGCCAGTCACTGACTCTGTAATCATTTTGGAAAAGCACACAAGTGCTGACAAGTCGTGGGACTAATTTGCTAAAATCCCTAGGGAAGTCTAGTGTGAGTCACGTGTCAACACACGCTCCAGATCAGCAAAAGAAAAGCAAGCATTGATCGGAGAGAGCAATTACTCAAAACAGAAGGCCCGCATTCATTACAGGGCTACACTTACATCTTTTAAGGCGGAGCGGCTTATTTCCTTACCTCTGTTCCTCTCAGATCTCTGGGAATGTATACATCATCTGTCATCTGCACTGTCAGCCCAAAGTCCACTAGGACTGCTTTGTCTGACATCAGGACAATGTTGCTGGCTGTGGAGAGATGAAAAGGAAGGAGGTGTGATTCAAGTTGGTGCTTGAACTGATAAGATTTCAGTTTCAGGTCCACTGAGTCTGTATTGATCTTAAGCATGAAAACGATAAGTAGGTCACAGGCTTTGACAAAGGAAATTGCCACGAAGAGACTCATCCTTGTCCCTAAAATGTCACCAAGGTTTAATTACATATTTTGACTGCAGGCAGGAAATGCTAAGAACCACAGCTTGTCAGAGGGCCTGAATGGTCATTTTAATAAGTCACTTGCCTCTCTGGACCATAATTGTAACCCTGACTGAGCATGAGAAGCAGGCTGGAATTTCCAGACTGCCAGCGAGCCTTTAAGCAGTGAGGCTGACAGACAGCTCTGCAGAATGCTTTGATCCCAGCAGCACTGCTGTGGTTCCTCAGCTGAGCTCCACCTGCAGTAACCAGGGCGTATTTGTCTGATCTGTCATGATAGCTACCAGTCACTGTGACCAGGCTACCTTTGAAGAATTACTGAAAAAGCATTAGTCAATCTATCAGATTCCTATGATCTGCTTGGTTTGTGGCTGTTCACTGATTCATTCTTTTCAGCGAATTGGGTTATTTACAAGAGCAATATCCGTCTGTGGCTTGAATTTGACGCATAGAAGATACAAACTGTAATTGCATAATTTCCTGTAACCTATGTACTTGTTCAATACCATGGAGCACATCCATCAAGAGTAAGTGACACACATCTTTTATGCTTACGTTTGATGTCATGGTGAATGACGTTGTGTGAGTGCAGGTACTCCAAGCCCCGCAGGACTTGCTTGGTCACCCAGATGATTTCGAACTCTCTCATCGGTCCGCAGCTGTCCAGTTTCTCCAGCACAGAGCCGCCTTCGCCGGCCTCCATGAACAGGTGGATGCTCTGGTTCCAGAGCAGAACGCCGTACAGCTCGGCGATGTTCTCATGGCGAAAGCGGGCCTGAAACTCTACATCAGCGGCTTTGAAGTTCTCCATGGGGATCTAGCGAGGGAGATAAGACGCATGATCACAAATAGCCCACCGTTTTGGGAAACATGTTCATCTTATTTCTTGGAGTGAGTTAAAAGGCTCGGTGACACCATTGCATTTGACTGTTAAATATGAAGCCAATGAGCTAAATGAGACATCCTGGGGACTGCTGGCCAAATGGATCCGTGTTTGCTTACAGTGACAACAAACTGACTTTTCACATTTTGCATTTTTATTGGCAAGGGTGGCTTTATTTAACAGTGCACAGAGGATTTATCAGTTATTGGTAGAGCTAGCTAGCTCGGGAAAATGCATACTTAGATCTGTCCATATATTTTCTTCCACTTCTGTATTGTGGTTTATCTGGAGCCTATCCCAACTCTACACAGAAAGGCCCCAGCCGGCCGGTGGATTTGAACCCAGGAATCCACAGTGCTAACCACCACACAGTGTGAGAGCAAAATGTGCTACTTACATATAAAATGCTGAAGTTTTGGACCCTGCCTCAAGTGGCGATTTAAGGAACTACAATTAATGGTTCATTTTTATTATAATTATTGTTTTTTTTACCCTGACAGCCTAATCGGGTAGTTCAGCTCAGTTAGTTCTGCAAATAAAATATACATTTAATAAATACTTCACAAGGACACTGACTCTTTCTGTATTTAACAGATTAGCTGACATAGTAATAGATATAGATACTGTTATCCTGTTTTTTGTGCTTTAAGAAATCTATTGTTATTAGTTTGTCAGTGATAATTTTAAAGTTGTTTCTTTAAAGAAATAATTTCTCAGTAATTATTATCTGATGATGGCATTGTTTTAAGCAGATAAGGACATCCTAACTCCAAGCCCTTATTGCAAACTATTTCCAGTAAATCCTTCACAGCAGCGTGAAAAAAACAGCACTGTGTCAACATAGTATTCTGACGATAACACCTGACTAGAGAGGAAAGTACTCCTTCCTCATTTGTCAATATTTTCCATACAACAGCGTAAGCACGCTGCCTCCCTCCCTCCTCTTTCTCAAGCATAGATCTGCCCAGATAGAAGCAGCATGTGTGGTTTTTACATGTGTCTTTAATGAATCTGACCCTGTCACAAACATCCAGAGGAGCTGTGGGAAGTTATTGTTGAAATTCCAGTCTTACATTAATCCCAGCCCATGTTGTAAGTTTGTTACAAGAACAAATAGTTCTTCGTTCAGCAACCCTGTTCCTCTTTCACTCAGTAAACATAGCAAATGTCACGCTGGCACCAACAATCTTTGTACAAACAGAGGAGTAATTGGACTGTGAACAAGCAGTATTTGGCAGGTTAAATATTTGGCACGCAGGTCAAGAGCTGTCGAGAAGTCAAGCACAGGCGGGATTTCTAGTCACCGATCAGGAAGACTCACCAGTTTGCAGGCCATTCTCTTCCTGGTGGTGGTGTCCTGAGCCAAGTGGACTTTCCCAAATGAGCCCTTAGGCACGAGGCCAGACCCATGATTCTTGTAGGTCAATTTCCATGGAAACAGGAGAACGTCCATGTTAATCTGGTAGCGGCCTTTTTTCACAGCCATGTCCTTCTATTTGTTTTTAGGAAGGAAAAAAAAGAAAGAAAATTATGCAAGTTTTTCTAGGCTGACCACATCAACTAAACATTCAGGTTGTGTTGAAGATTTAAAAAAGAAAAAACAACAAGATTCTCACCTTATTTAGGAGGACTCCCATTTCCTCTGGCAGGTTTGGCAAGGCTGCCGTCTGCATGCTGGACAGGAGGTTGACAAAGGACAGGACCTCTGTCACAGTCCCATATCGAACTCCATTAGCGTAGTCCTTCTGCTCACTCCCCAAAACCACCACCTCCCCTGCCTCCTCATTCTCATCCATCTCCTCCTGGGAAAGTCCTTCTTCGTCTTCTAACGACAAGATTTCTTCTTCCTCCTCTTCCTCGAGCCGATATAGAGTCTCTGCAGCGTTAATAATGTCCTCTAAATTCATGTGAGTCAAGAGCAGTTCTATTCCCGAGTCATATTTGTAATCCATGTTAATGCTCCGTTTGTCCAGCTCCATCTAAAATCAAACATCAGGAGGTCAGTGTGGGGACTGTTTCCGTGCTGACTTGAATTGTATAAGCAAGCGGATCGTTCATGACTGGGAAGTTTCACGTGGGGAGCAGGACGTGCAGTGAAACTACACTTAAGAAGTGAAGCTTTGATACAGCTGGCTGAACACACAGCTGGGAGGGGCTTCACAGGGCTGTTTTCCAAGCAAAAGAAGGGAGTTTCGCAGTAAAGCTGGGAAGCCCCCCCAGGAAAGCTTGAACCTTATTATACATTTATAAAACAACAACTGCCCATTATTATAACTATTATTAGCATTATGATGCTGCGATAAAGAGTTCAGCTCACATTATTCGATGCAAATCATACACATGTGCATTAATGCAAACCCCATGCAACATTTGAAATAAATACATAAAAAATAAACCGTATTACGATCCAAACATGCAAACTTAGAATAGGTGCCTAGAAAAATAAAACAAACAAACAAACAAACAAAAAACAGTAGCTGTAGAACTATAACTAGCTATCTGCCAAATATTCCGCTGCTTAAAGAAAAATAGAGTTTCGCTGAATAACAGGAGTTACTTCTTTGAGTGACAGAAACCACGCGTTACCTGCCTTATGAAATTGAGTCGGAAGCTTAAGCGCACCGTCGTGTCTTCATTGCGGCGCCCCGCAGACTGTCTGATGTATGAAGCTTCGTGGATTGTGTTTAGAACGAAGTAAACACAGGAAGTGTGGCGTGGCTGTGGAGGTGGAGTACCTCTTTAGTGTCAGCTGCCAGCAGCTCTCTCTCGCTGTCTTTGTAGGTTTCGTTTTCCCTTTTCTTGTTTCCTCAAATGAAAAAACACAACAAAAAAATAAAAAATAAAAAATAAAAAAAACGAAAAGCTTTCAGGACTGTTGGGTGCTTTCCTATCGGGAGACGTGTCTCGTTTAATGTACGATGCATAATATATCACCAACACTGAAGCTTATTCGTAGTAAATAAAATAAAAACAAATTTCAATTCAATTTCAAATTTGATACCTTTAAAAGACGTTACAGAGTCAGCCCAAAGAAATCGGATGATAGTTTTTTAAACACTAGAAAGTGTCTTTTCTGGTATCTCTAGGTTGCCGTAGACAGGACCAGCCGCATGCGCATTTGCGCTTCATTCCGAAAAACAATGGCGTCCTCCTTTGCTGTGTGCAGGTTACATATGAGAGGAAGGGCCAGCCTGGCGAAGTGCCTACAGAAAACCGACGCGTTTCTTCACAGAAGTATAGGAACAGACGTCGTTATTGCCCGAGCTGAGGCCACTCGAAGTGACGAAAGTGGTTAGTAATTAAGCCTAGAAAAGAAGCTGGCCTTTAGGCTAGCCTTAATACACCGCCGTGTGATGTCGAGTGTGCACCATTCCAAACTCCCCTGAGAAACGTTATATTTTTGTTGGTGAAGGCCGTAACTATGATTGCGTTGTGCGTTTTACACAATATGTGACCTGTAAGAAATCACTGGGTCATACGTAAAATTCGGCACTGTGGCTGTTAACGATAACAACGCGATAACTCTTTTACGGCTAAAATTTTATTATATAGAACTTGTACCTGTCATTTGTGGGACTTGTATATTTACATAGAAAGCCCCACTGTAAAACTGACAGTTTTGTAAATGAGGTTTGTTGACATGTTCTGGGACAATTGAACAATGAAAACTAGAACTTAACCGACGATACATCACATTTTTTGCATTTTATTATCAATTTGGTGCATCCCAGTCTTTGAACGTTTATCAGTGCAAAACTGACGTGACACACCACAGAATTATTGCCTGCTGTCACCGGTAAATGTCATATTATTTCCCAGTAAGCTGATATCACTCACCCAAGTTGAAACTAATGTTAGGCCCATATATTTGTGCACCCCCAACCCGTCCCAAAGGTCTTATACAGCTAATATTGTCCCGTCTGTCTGTTAACAACAGTGTGCTTATTACACAGTTTTAAATGTCTTACTCTCAGAGAAAAAAACTTGACTTGTTGGATGGCTTCTTCTCTGTTGTCAGATGAAAAGAATGGAAGGAAGTCTCTGCACACTCTCCACATGGAGAGACAAGAACAAGCAGAGAGGTCCGTTCTCATCAGCTGTCAGTCCAGTACCAATGAGAAAAAGTTCCTCAAGTATTTATCAAAACATGGAGAAATCAATAAATACTTCTTTTATGAAAGCTATGTGAGTAAAAGACCAACCTCTTCTGATAAGCAAGTACTGCTACCTCACCACCCTGTTGGAATTATGTTACAATTATGATATTGTGTAATTCTCCAGGGAGTGTATGCTGTAGTGGAGTTTGCCAACCAGGAAAGTGTTACGTCTTTACTTGAAGGGGTGGCAATTCCTGGTGGCAGCCACGAATCCGCAGTGCCTTTCAAATCCAGACTGTTGTCACTCAGAAACCTCGGCTCAGTGGACTCATCAAACCAACTGTCAGGCCGGCAGTGCCAACCTCAGACCACTATTCCCATCAATGAGCTAATAAAGAGACTTTCCAGAGAAGAGAGTGTACGTTGACTTATCACATCAAAAGTTATACTTACATTTTAAGTCTTGTTTGAAGTTGATTGATTTGGATGTTTCCCATTTCCTGGTTTCCCTCAGATAGACAAGCAGATAAGCTCCTTGACTGAAGCCTATCAACTCACAGAGGAGAACAGCAGGCTGCGTTTCCTCGTCTGTTCCCTGCTCAAGGATATTGCTACCGCTTATTTTCCAGAATGCACCATCAAACCCTTTGGCTCATCAGTGAATGGCTTTGGAAAGCTTGGCTGTGACCTGGACATGTTGCTGGATCTGGACAGCATCACTGGACGCAATGTGAAACTGGTAATGAGGCTTTCTAGGTTTCTTTAGAAAATATTAGATTTATTGGCAAACAGTTTGCAGTGATTTCCTTGTGAGTTGTGAGGTAGCTTTCCTTTTAAGCATTTTATCTGCATCTAAACTAACTACTCCTTTGGTTTGTTTTGTTGTCTCTGACACAAAAAAAGGCATATGAAAGAACCACGTTCTTCTTTTGCTTCTTTCGGCTCCCTTTGGGGGTCGACACAGCAGATCATCCGCTTCTTTGTGACCTTAACGTCCTCCTCTGTCATCCATGAATCCTGTCTGTGGTCTTTCTCTTTTTCTGTTGACTTTGTCTCTAAAATGCTTAATCATAGCTGTCTCTCTGATGTACTCATTTCTAATATATTGAAAATCTTAGCATCACCATCTCCACCACCTGTAAGCTCTGCCTTCTGTGTTTATTGTCAGTGCTACTGTCTTCAAGCCACACATAGATGGTTTCACGACCCGCTCATAAACCTTCCCTTTCAGTCTTGCTTTCTTACTGTCATAAGTCGCCCCTGACACTCATTTCCACCCACTCACCCTGCCTGTACTCTGCTCTTCACCTCTCTTGTTCACTTTCCATTGCTTTGAATGCTTGGCTGCAGGCATTTGCACTTGTCTACCTTCACCGTTATAGGAAATTAGGTTAGTATTTTTAGACTTTTTTAAGTGCCTCTGCCAGCAATTGCGGATTTTCCACCACAATCACATATGAACCAATTTCATTTTATTATCCAGTGGCACTGAGGGAGCAATAAAACATGTGACAGAGTTATCAAACTTATTTAAGTTAATGGGCAACATGCTGTCCAAGTTGATCTCAAATGAGCTAGACCAGTAAACCCATTAAATAGCGGCATATAAAAAAATTCCCGTGAAGCACTTTTTGAAGTATATTCATATAATGAAACATCACAGATGGCTCATAAAAAGTAGGAGCAATTTGAAAAATATGCCGCAGTTTATCCTCTTTATGGTTGTTTTTATTCCAGAAGAATGCTTCTGTGCAGCAGGGGTTCTTGTTGTGTAGGTCTTACTTAGAAATGCATCCAGTGGCCTGCATTGAACCCTTTTGCAGGGTATGTTTGGCTCATGGCACATATGTTTGAAACCACCTATACATGTATATAAAAATTGCCCTCACATATTGATTTATCTCCTGATATCACCCCACAGCGACGCACTACCCAGAAATCCTTTGCATAAAACCAAACAAAGTGGTGCAAAAGTGGTTGCTTCTTTCTTTTTGCCATCTGCTAGATCCCCACTATCTCCAAACTAAAAATGCTGATGTGTTGGTCTGACTTTCAGACAGCTGATGTGCATGTGTCTGTCTTTAGTTTGTTTGAAAGCTATGAATGCACTTGCAGTAATGTAACGGTTAACTGGCAGCTCAACTAGAATGACCACAGATATCAACTTGACATAGAAGAGAGTCACCCTGAAACATGTATTAGGTGAATATTTTATTTACATGTCATAAGACAGAAAGGTGTGGAGATACTATAGGATCAAATGGAAAATAACCACTGTATGCCTCATGGTTTCTTAGGACAAAACAATTGAAAAATTAAAGTGTAAATATATCTGTTATTCTGTATATTCCTCCCTGTGTGTGCAGCCTAAGTCAGGCCTCTCCCTGGAGTACCAGATGAAGCGGGCCAATTCAGAGCGAGCCGTTACTCAGAGCATCCTGTCTGTGATCGGGGAGTGCGTCGACCAGTTTGGGCCCGGCTGCGTGGGGGTACAGAAAATTCTCAACGCACGGTGCCCTCTGGTCCGTTTCGCCCACCAGCCGTCTGGCTTTCAGTGTGACCTCACAGCCAACAACAGGTACTCAGTCAGCGCAGATGTTCTGACGTCAGTGGAACGAGTAAAATGTCAGATTTGACTTGGTCACAGTTCTCTTGCTTCACAGTAAATGCTCTTTTTACGTTACCCATAATACCATTTTTGACCACGCTTGCATTATAAAAGCTCCCAGACAGAAACCAGACTCTGGCAGGAAGTGCTACGATGGGTCAGTCTTGCATTTTTCCGCTGTGAAACTGAACACGAAGTGTGGGCTTGTTTGTGTTTCACTTCTTTTCCTTCCAACGTTATTGACTTGTGGTCTCTGCTGGTGTGTGACACAAGTACGCACGCACACACACACACACACACACACACACACACACACACACACACACACACACACACACACACACACACACACCTGCTAACGTACAGAAAACCACTCTGCAGTTTCTAAGGAAATGGAGTTGAACCAGCATCTGTGGGTGGCTGTGAGAGGGGGGACTTTTCTTAAATCGTGCTCACAGATCATTGAAGCATAGCACCTTCCTGCCTGAGGTGTGAATGCGTGCATTCAAGAAAAACAGACGAACAGCAGCCGAGTCAGCTGAATGCTGCTCTCCAGCGGTACATTTAGTTTCTCTGACCTGTAATGGTCGGCCCTTGCACCATTTCTCTGAACTGTTAATGCTGTTAACACATCTCCAAGTTCTATATTTAAGGCAAAATGCAGGCATTTTATAATTGAACATAGTGTCATTTATTTTCAAAAGCCATTCCATATTACTAAATTTCCATTTGAAATCTCCAAAATCAGACAGTGAAAGGTACATAACAGCCCGCCTGGAGTTTGCCAGAAATCAGCTAAAGGACTCTCAGATCTCTGACTCTCTGGCCTGAATACCGAGCGTCATGTCTGGAGTAAACAAAAGTAGTCAAAATCACCCCTACAGTGAAGCACGATGGTGGCTGCATCATTGTGGGAATGTTTCCCAGCATCAGGAACTGGGATACTCATCTGGGTCCAAGGAGGGATGAATGCAGAAATACACAGACACATCCTTGATGATAACCTACTCTAGCGCTCCGAACCTCAGATTGTGAAAACTGCATCTATCTGGATGCACCGTATGCTCAGATGTCACTCTTTGTGTTCTCCACAGGGTGGCGATGAAGAGCACAGAGTTGCTCTACCTGTATGGAGAGCTGGACCCTCGGGTGCGCAGCCTGGTGTTCACTGTACGCTGCTGGGCCCGAGCTCACGGAGTCACCAGCAGCATCCCCGGGGCCTGGATCACCAACTTCTCCCTCACTGTCATGGTGCTGTTCTTCCTGCAGAAGAGGACTCCTCCCATCATCCCCACACTGGACCACCTGCGGGACCTCGCAGGTACCATCCAGCACTCACACAGCGGACCTCTGAGAATTTGTTAATAAGTTTCAAAGTTTCAGTAGTGTTTTAGTTAATAACATTAAGAGTTTTGCTTTTTTCTATTCTTAACAATCACTCTAAGTGTAGCATTTCACAGCCCAACACAACAGTCTCGTTCTTCATGCTTCAAAAACAGTGTACTTTCCAATCTTAAGCAAACACGCGTTCACTAGAAAACATTTTTCTTATTTAAGTGTCAGGCAAAAAACAAGAAGTTCATAAATTAATAATGCCTTTTTTTTCTTCACACGTTGCTTACTAACTGTTCCCTAAAATATAAATGCAACCACCGAGTACACTAGTGGCAGTGTGGGGTGGGGGTTTTCTCTGTACAGCTGTAGTCACACTCACAAATATACCTTGGTCAATTAGTTACTTAGAAATGAAAAATGTCATAAATGATTCAACAAAAACTTTTGGTGTTAAGGAAGTTAGATTTTCAGTGTAAGATACCTGCTTTGAGGACAGTCCCAGTGCACGTGTGAAAAGGTTCCAATTAACTGAGTCAGAGTAAAATTCACGCAGCAGGCAGGAGGTGAACAAAGTAAGAGCAGCTGTCCCCACTCCATGAATATTGTGTTTCCTGGCAAATAAAGGCAAGAAAAGCACCAAATTGTAAAATTTTGCTGAATTCAGGAAGCAAATAACACATTTTGGAAGTAACAAGAATTCTCATTTACAGCTGGTTGGGGTGATTTTCTCTGGGAAAGCAAGGGGAAAGTCTTTTCTGTCTGTAACCATGTTTAAGCACCTCTGGACACTTTGAGCTTTATTTGTTTATAGAAATACATACATGGAATCTCCAGTTAAATTGGATGAAAACAGCTTGAAAAATTCACTGACTTCATTCACGGACGTTGTACTTCTAGCACCATTTTTGCTGTCATGGAATTCCGGATCCTTCTCTCATAACATCTCCAGTGACTATTTGTTCACCTCTAATGAACCATCTATTTACAAAAGAAGTGATGAACAACACGAGATGTTGTTGAAACAACTGCAGTTTAAACAGTGTCTTTTAAATGACATCAAACAATTCAAACGATTTTTTCTTTCCACACGTTTTTATGCCTTTGTAGTAATCCGGGCATCCACTCACCACTGAGGGTCCTAATATCTTTATTGCAGCTTTCACACTCGTGAAGCCACCCAGTGGTCTAGATTGGACCTTTTGAACTTGTGGGGGGATAATTAATGGTGTCCTGTTACTGCTGCTTTCAGTGACTGAGGTGTGTGTTGGATTCTGCAGCATGCAGACCCATTGCTTTCCGGGCCTCTTCTCCCATGGCAGAGGCCCCCTCGGCCTGGCAGGGACCAGCAGCTGCCTTTGCAAGATGTGCTAAAACACTTGCGTTTTCCAGGTCATAGACAAAGCCCAGTTATCTGCTAATGTATGTATTCTTTAGCAGACAGGGCACAACCATATCACAATCAAGTTGATCTGGTAAACCAAGCTTGATGACTTGTTAAGTATTGGTCCACCTGCTATGCCCACTTCAGATAAAGAGAGGCGTTGTCCTTGTGGGGTCCTCAGCCTGAGCATAGGTGCCATTGCCATGCAGCATAATTGTGTTCAATGCACCTTTGCTGTGTCCATGACTTTCAAATTTAACTGTAGCCAAGAGCAGCATTTCAATGTCAGGTGTGACCCTGCAACACTGAGTACAACACACATCCTTCATCTACAGCCCTGGAGACTGTTCACTTGTTTTATTTAATACTCAGCATCCTGGGAAAGCCTTCCAGCCATCCATCTTATTACCATGTATATATGTGTTAGGAATGTTTAACCCAGTGTCCTTTTCTAATAGAACTGCCGTCACACCAATCTGCCCGCAAGTCCACTCGCCTCCCTCTGCCCCTCTTTCTGTCACCTTGGCTGCCTGATAATTGCCTTCCAAAAGCAATCTAACCTCACCTCCTCCCCTCCTCTCCTTCCTCTTCCTCCTCGGCACACCATTTAGCGCGGACTCTATCACACAGAGTGCTTACAGGACAATAAAAGGCCCATCACTCTGGGAAGGTCAATGACCCACCTCCTCTAGACACACACACACACATGTGCGCTTCCAGGCAGTTATTTAAACAGCAGTATAACACACTAACACACACACACACACACATACCAGCCTCATGGTGGTGAAGGAGACTCGACAAGGGCACAGTTAAAGATGTAAACCAGCCAAGGAAGGACATGATACATGCTGTCTTTGTTCTTTTTTTGTTTATCACGTGCGCCTGCTCTCCCCTTGCTTTCTTGTTTTCTGGCCACGAGCGCGTGACTCCATCCATCTGTGTGTTGTTTATGGCTGTCGCAGGCGTGTAAAGGCAGACGTTTTACCTTGTATCCCTGCTCTCGTCTCCACAAGGCCCCGGGGACAAGAGCGTGATTGAGGGGAACGACTGCACATTTGTCAGTGACTTCAACAAGATCCAGCTTCAGAGCAACACAGAGACGCTAGGTGAGCACAAGAGACCGCCCCCCCACAGTTTGATATGTCGGTGACATTTGTGTTAGCGGGCTTTTGTGCTAATTCCAGTTTTCTATCTTTGGTTTAGAGCAACTGCTGGGTGAGTTCTTCGAGTTCTACGCCACCTTCCCATTCAGCCGGATGTCCATAAATATCAGAAAGGTGAGCATGATTATCCAGAACTGCCTCAGGTTTGGTGCCAGTTGAAGGGAGATTCAACTGGCACCACAGATTTTCTGCTGTGTGGTCTGTGTGGTCTTATAGAGAGTGGATATGACATGGTCATCTGGGAGAACAAGCCCCGCCTCCTGATGTTTAAACCTCTTGTCTGGGAGGGGCAGACAAAGATCCATCTTTGTCTGCCCCAATGGCCAGTGATTAGCAGGCATAACAGATCCATGTATATGTCCACTTCTGAGAGCTGGAAAAAAACCCCCCCCATATTCTACAAAGAGAAAAGTATCATAAGCATCATTTTGTGCTGCAAACAAGCTGATTTTTGAGTTGCTTAGGAAGTTCTACTCATGTTGTATCAGTCAGTACAAAGGATTTCTCCCTCTGCTAATGAAATAATAATGAGACCAACAATCGCTTCCTGTGCTTTTTTTTCTCTCCATGCCAACTGCATGAATAAATAAATAGATATCCCGAAAATTCCTCACATTCAAAAGGGAGCAAATGTGAATTAAGTGGGAGCTCCAGTTTAAAATCTAAAATCGGCAACGAGCAGCCAAAGCTACAGCAAAACTTTTAGACTGACAAACGCTTGTAAAACATTTCGGACAAGGCAAATAGCCCTCTACTTCAAAGCTGCCATTTAGACTTCAAATCAAGTTTTCTAAACACACTGAGGCTCCTGTCTAAAGGAACGTTTGAACGGAGCTGGACTGTTAAACTGAAAAACAGCCGCGATGGCTCCGAGTGTTCTGATATACTGTCAGCATTGCTGCATATGTCGTAAAAAGGCTCAACTGGGGTCCTTCAGTGTGGGCTTGGATTTATTAGTGGATCTGACCTCTGCAGTACTGCATAGTCGTTGCAGAGTTATGGTGGGGCACACACATACATAAACATTTGGCACAACTGTATGCAGGTAGTTTTAACATCGTTTAATTGAGCTGTGCATCCTCGCAGTCATTTATTCCAGTGTTACAGTTTCCGTGATTTTGTCAGTTTCTGATTGTGATGTAAATTCTGTAGCATCTGCCGGGTTTTGGGGTTTTTTTTGTTTTGTTTTAGCAACTGATGCACTACGCATGCATCCATCAGACAGACGGCTATGCTCCTTCAGCAGTCCTCATCTCTACTACTATGCTACAGAGTCCTTCTTTATCTTCTTTCTCAACACAAAAGCATAAAAACCATGTCAGTGGGTAGTTATTACCACAGTAGGAGTGCATTCTCCAAGCAGAGGAGTATCTTAGTGGATAAAATAGATAGTGACAAAGTTTAGCTTTAAGGGCATCATTTGTAGTTATTGCAATACAATAATATTGTGTGTGAAGTATTTTGACAATATCATATCATGTGATGTCGGGGGATTCCCACATCTACATGCTAATGTGACAAAAAATTAATATGGTTTTAAAGTCAGTCCAGTGTCTGTGTTAGTCCAAATCCTCACACCTAAGGAACTGGAATAAAACTTAAAACGCACACAGAGAGAAGTTCAGCCTTCTTTCAACTCTTTCACCCAGCTGAGCTCCGGCAGGGAAATCTGTTGGTAATAAAGACCGTGTTTGCTGGATGGCGTCTTCCCACACACACAGATGACAGCTGTCCTCGTCTCATGTGATTGATGCCGGCCCCACAGGAGCCTGGCGCCCTTGAGCTTTAGATCCCAATTAGGAGGTCTGTCACATTAACTGCAAACAAATGCATATTTGTTCTTTTTATACCCACATTTATCCTGATGTGGCTGTTTATGCCTGCGTAATACTTTCTACTGGCAACCAGGGAACATCCTCGATGGAAGTCACAGTGTTTCATCGTTGGGAGTTTTTGGGGCTAATTTTTCCTCTCTGTCTATACGCGATAGTTAATTAACCTACTGCTTAAAATGTTCAGTGCTGAATAATATGCCTCTTACTCCCTATTACTCTTCCCAGTAGAAATTTTGTTGATAAAGTAGCTCTTCATGCTTTGATGGCACAGTATATGAGATGCAGGGATTTTGCTAGAGCTTAGAGTTTAATGAATCGATACCCGTGGGAAAGAGAGACCCCAGCTTAATAAATGAGACTAATGTGAAGTTTGACATAGCCTCCCTACAGCACAGGAAGCTTTCAGGTAGACTGTGGTTGTGACCCTTGCCTATCGGCTTTCAACAGTGGAGCAACCACCATAAATCTGCTTTACTGTGCTACAATTCACCGCTTCACTCCCCTTTTCTGACTGATGGCTTTATGTTGCCATCTTTAATCCTTCCTGCCCGTCCTTTATCCCCCTGTGCCTTTACTGTCAGGCATTATGCAGGATACAGCATGCAAAGTACCACGGAAGCTTCTTGACTTCCCTCTGACCCACATTTTGATACTTTATTTGATGGCCACGGCATTTGGACAGATACAGACCATATATGTTTTTTTTTTATTTCAGGCTAAGCTAATTTTTTTCCTTCTTTTTTTGGGTAAATTCAAAAAACCCTGCTCATTTCCCCAAGTCAAAAAAGACATGTCCATTTCCCTTCTTTATCTGCTACCCTGCAGAGAGGTGTTCTACTCAGCTATGTGTGCCCCAGATAGAGCAGCAAAGGGCTGAGTCCATGACCAACGAAATTGATGGACCATGACGCACAGGAAACGAAGGTCTACACTTACAGCTGCTGCTGCTCACGAATGTGTTTTCAACCTGCCTTGTCCCCTTCCCTCTCCCTCCAGGGCAAGGAGCAGAACAAACCAGAGGTGGCCCCGCTGCACATCCAGAACCCGTTTGAAACCTCTTTAAACGTCAGCAAGAACGTCAACGCCAGCCAACTCGACCGATTCGTGGCTTTGTGTCAGGAGAGCGCCTGGCTGCTCCAGCAGAGTGAAACCAGCACACCAAGAGGTGGTGGTGCGGGAGGCGAAGGTGCACCCACACCTTGGGGACTCGCTACCCTCCTTCTGCCTTCGCAGGTCGCAGGGATCAAAAGTCGCAAGAAAAGGAGGAGGGAGCCGGCCAGTGAAAGGATCAAGGGCTTGCTAGAATCATTAAAAAATAAAAATCAACTAAAGAAGAGCTAGAAGGACTCTTCCATGTCTCCACTCTCTTGTCAGGACTTCAACCTCCTCAGTGTTGCTTTGTGATGCTTCACTGTGAAGGTGAGAGAAGAGGCTCCAGGAACTAGACTGTAGTTCCAAACATGGACACTGGAGGGTGTTAGTGAGACCTATAAGTGCATATGTTTTGGGACCTGAAATAAGGGAGTCTTGGCCATGTAGGCTGTAGACTTTCCCACTCTGTTGTGATTAAAGACAATACTGTGTAATTCAGTCTGGCCTGATGCTTGTTTCGTAGCTCAGTGTTTAACAGGTTAATTTGATTCATTATCATGTGCATCACTGTTAACAGCATCAGCACAGACACCATCTGTTTACACTTCAGGCTAAATCATTATGCATACAGTTACAATATGGACGGAATAATTAAGGTTTTACTGAAAACTGTATACACTTGTTACACTTATGGAGCCCCAACACGAGTAAAGGCAGCAGAAGTGTAGCAAAATACATCAGAATCATAAATACTAAATAACCATGGAAAGAAATTTCATACTTTTTAAAATTATCATTGTCTGATAAAATAAATTCTAAAATTTCAGTTTTTCCAGGCAGTATGATCTTTTTTTTTTTTTTTTTTTTTGAGACATGAGAAGAGGTGTGTGTGTGTTTGTGTGTGTGTTTTTATCTGAAAATATATCATTTCAAGTGTAATTAAAGCAGCAAAGTGGGACAAAAACTTGACTCTGTTAGAACTGTTACAGAAGTAGTACCATTGGTAGTTGGAGAAAGAATAAACTTTATATAAACAGCTTTTATATCTGATTTTTACAGGTTTAGTGGTAAAAACTATCCGATTTATCTGATACAGAGTTATAACAGTAAAATTTGATCTACTTTGTGTGCTTTTACTGCAAATATTGTATTACAGCTAATAACCCTTGAGTAATAATAGCTCTTCTTCCTATTTACTTTGTAACTGCAGGTAATGCTAAAAAAAGTTCATGCTATTCTTTCTCTAACACTACATAACCAGTAAACACAATTTTGGAACACTTCAACTTTGAGTTGTTACTGAAGTGTACTTTATGTCATTCTGACAGCAACATAAAGCACAACTTTTAGGACAGTATTGTTGTAAGACACCCAGCTTAAATATAAAGGAACCCTCAATTATCACAGTATAACACAAAGTCACTTAAACTTAAGGGATATCAATCTGTTCTGTTAGGAAGCATAACCCACTGTGAATCAGTTTCATCTGCTTTGGTGCAAGTGACAGTGACAACAGGTGCACTCGAGAGGCAACAACAAGGCAATCCCCCAAAAGGGAATGGTTCTGCAAGTGGTGACTACAGACCATTGCTGTCTTCTTATCCCTCCTGACTAATTTTTCTGTTTCTGTTTGGTAATAAGGGCCGTGTTTGCCGGATGGCATCTTCCCACACACACAGATGACAGCTGTCCTTGTCTCATGTGATTGATGAAGTTCTATTAGCAAGACCCGATACCTGTAGTCCATTCAGGTGGAACAGGTATTTTAGTGTGTGAGTGTGAAAAACATACCAAGAGATGGACTGTTGCATAAGGCAAGATGGATTCAAGGTCAACTTGGCAGAACCAGTATCTTCTGCTTTTTGTGAGAAAGAACAGGAAGAGCATCGCCAGATAACTTTGGCCTTTGTTCAATACTGTGATTATCTACGGTTCCCTTCATCTTTTGGAGTGGTTTATACAAGAAGTTCAGGGACAGTTTGATCTCACTTTCATACAGAGAATTTCATAATCAGCAAAAGTTGGGGAACCTGAATCTACTTCCACTTCAGGAAAGCTGTAAGTTAACCAGTTCTTAACCTATAAAAACATAATCCTCTATAAAACTTTTATGTCTTTCTTTCACTTATTTTTTGATTTTACACAACTTGATTTGAAGTGCTAAAAACTGAATTGTAAAACAACTACAAAAATGGGATGCATTTTCCATATGTATAACAGACTACGATGGAACTCTAATATGATATCTTTGCAATTTTGTAGTGATGTGCATTTAGTTGAGTTTTTTCTTGACTTGGGCATTTTCTCAATAGCTATCTACAGTTTTGTGGAAGCTAGCTGGATAAAACATAGTATCTACTGCTGTGAGAGATCACACAGGGAAGCTAAGTAGTATAGTTTATGTATTGATTACAATAACCTGCATTATTTAATAGCTTTAATCAATGACTGTACAGTGATTGCCTTTATTGCTGGTTAGCTTGAATGCTATCAATGGCTGCCATTGATAGCATCAAGCTAGTCAGCTGCAGTAAGCTAAAGTTATGCTAAAACCAAAACATCTGGGAAGTAAAATAATTTGGAGAACATTGAGTGGTTGATCTTTTTTTTTTATCCATCTTGCTAGCAGTTAATGTAATAGATATTTTTAACCAACTAAACAGAGGTTAAAGGATAATAGGTGGCTATATATATTTATTTTTACACTTCGTTTTATCCCACAGAGATCTGATTAAATTGAACAAGTTGTACTTTTTTGTGTTTGGGATGAAATATATAGAGACATGTAATAAAATTTTCAGTTCCTGTGTTTCACATGTTGAATTTTTTTTATTCTGCTATCTTAAGGCAATGAACCTACACAGCTTTTTATGATTTGGTCATCTGTGTTAAGAAGATTGAGTTTATATATAACAAAGTGTGCTATATAAATAAAATCACCATTGTCATTACCACTGGCTTGATTTGGTCAGAGTAATTTCTTTTATTCTATCTGTATCTTTTTCTGTGTGGGAAGAAATTAGCCTTGTTCTTGGGGGTTAGGCTAAAATCCCATCACCCAATGATTAGTGAGGTCCCAGTTTCAAAGTCTGCGGTTGGCTTTGACTGATACCATAGGCTCATATTGTGACTTATTAATGACAAGTTTGGCCCACCCTGAAACATCCCCTGCTTTCTTGTGCATTTTAACTCGAATAGGGGCTATACTTTATTTAAAAAAACATGGAAGTGACGCTGAGTGTTCACTCAGGTCATAGATCACAGGAACTGAAGAGTTGTTTTTCCCATGGGCATTTATATAATCAGACTTTTCTGCACACAATGAAGCTGGCCCTTGCTGGTCATTGGAAAGAAGTAGCTTTGAGCCACTTTAACATTGTCTTCACTTTTGAGATGTGGAATCAGCATCCATACATAGTTAATGGGAAGCACAAAGGTAATAAATTAATGCTAGAAACTAATTTGAAAATGAAAATGAAAAACTATTGGAAAATGTATTTAGAATCTAAATAAATGTAAAGATAAAGTGAAAGACAATACATACCGCTGAAGAATTGCATACATACTTTTAGGCTTTGATTTTAGTTAAGACAGCCAGTGGCAATTTGGGAGTATTTTTTTTTCATACTCGCAGAAAATTCCAAGTTTCACTTTAGTTCTCTCTATATAGCTGTTTATTTAGATAGAAATTATGGTTGCGATTGAACAAAGAATACCACATTTTTCTTAAAACGTTTGTCAAAATTAAAGATTTTAGATGAAAACGGTGGCATAGTGGTGCTAGCGTGGGATGTCCAAGACAGCCCACCAGCTTGGTTCCCCAGTTTACTGGAGCTAAACTCAGCCAGCTCTGTGGTGAGGTCTGCTGAATAGATTGACCTTGATTAAAACCCCACTGACTGATTTGTCATACTAAATATCCAAAAAGAGACATAAAACTTAAACATTTCCTTTGGTTTTCCATTTACAGTGCCACGTCTGCCAATCACATCCCTTGAAATGTTTTCTAAGCTTGAATTGGTAAATGTTATTCACAATTTATATATTTCTTTCTTATTATATAACCTGAGTGTGTGTAAGTGAGTTTGAGGAAAGAGAAAACGCTGTAGGGTGCATGTGTTAGGAGTGCATCTACAGGTTCACATCCTATGAGAGTGCCTGACTGTGTTTGTATATGTGTGTCTCGGGCCCATGGGACAAGGTTGGAGGAGTGGGGAGTGAGTGGCCCACAGCTGTTTTTCTGCTCATTGCCGTCTGAGGTCGGAGGGGTGAGCGGATGGACTTTTAACTACCTCCCCCTCCCCTTCTGCCACCAGTCCACCCTTTTACCATTGGGGGGCACGGGATGGACAGGAGGAAAGGAGCAAAGCTGCTTTGAACTCCACTCATTGTCCCTGCCTCCTCTTTCAAATTCAGCACGCCTCCCTCTCTCTATCTCGGTCATCTGTTTTCCTCTCCTCACAGACTAGCAGAGTTCTTTGAGGTTTGAGGAGTTTGTTTATTTCCATGAGTGAGTTTCTGACTGATGGATGTGCTCTAGTGGAGCAACAGAGTGGTTATGAAATGTGGTAGTCAGAAAAGCATGGGGTGGGGAAATCAACAGCTTGGGGGAATCTGATGAAATGTGACTGCTGGGTGTTGTGGGGTTCATTTTAAAGGAGTGTGATGTCAGTGCCATGGATATTCTGATTTGCAGATGGTGGTATAAAACCCACAGTACTGTTTTTTCAAATTTATAGATCTCTCTTTGATGGCACTCCCTCCATTTATTGAACACTTTATGAGGTAATTACACGGATAGATAGAAGGTGTGGGTACTAGCCAAAAGGTTGTAACGGGCCATTGTCAAGGTTAATCATATTTTTTTCTCATCCCAACCAGCAAAAAAATACAGGTTTTATGTGACCATCTCCCTGTAATAGACTGCTTTGGCTTGTAAAGGACTGAGACTGTGTTTGGGTAACCTGCCCAGCAGTGACCTTCCTCTGAGGCTTTTGCAAGTGGCACATGGTGGGCTTTGCTTTAATAGGATAACTTGTGAAAAATCAAAGATGGATTGGCCCCGTCACAAGAAGTCCTGAGGTACTCGGGGCGCTGGCCAGGGTTTATGTTGCTGCCTTTTTCTTGGCTCCTAATGCACCTTCAGGGCCTGAAAGAATGTAAAACAGTGTCTTGAGGGTTTAAAAAATACAAGTGTAAGTAAGTATGTTGTGTACATGCTTGTGTGAGGAGGAGGGTTAATATATACCCCTCAAACATCTCGAGCAGCCCCTTCCAGTGAGTTCTGGAAGAGGAAAAGGCCCAAAACACACAGTGCTACTGCAAGCTGTTTGATGTGGAAGTCTTATCGCTCGGAGCACTTTCAGAAGTTATTTTATCAAGCCATCAGAGTCACTGCACCACTCCTTCCCCTTACCTCCACGGTCTGCACAAAGGGCCTTTGGAGACTCGTGGAGAAAGTACTCTCCAGACCACTTCCCCTCGCAGTTCCATGAATTGTCCCTGCAACATTGTGAGAAGCCATTACACCAGTTTCCGTGTTCGAGGAACGAGTGTTCTAGCAGCCCCCTTTTACTCCCAGCTTTTGCACTCCTCAGCACCCCTACGAATGGCTTTGCATATGGGACACGGTGAGAGCGAGCAAGGAGCACTGGAATGCACTTTGCTACTTTGTCTGTACACTCTGGCTATCACCCACACTGATAATATGAGTTAAAATACTGGCCACCAACTGAGTAACTTACGTTTGGTCGTTACGGTGTATGGGAATGGCTGGGACTTACTGTACCCACCAACACAACCATTGTTTGAGTGCAGGACACAGGGCTGCCTAATTGGAGCCTGGCACAGAGTTTCTGGCAGTCGAAGCCTCTGAGTGTCAGAGACCGTGGTTGTTTGCACATTCTTTCTCTCACTGGACAGTAGAGTGGCTACATCCATTCAGCAGTGGTCGGATCAGTGGCTGCATGCTATGACCAAAAATGAATTGTTGCGCGGGTACACAAAACACACAATGCATGCATGGCAACAGGACATAGGCGGGCATCCATGGAAACACAACCCACTAGGCTCTCCTGGGTGCCTTTGCCCCATGACTGGAGAATGCGTGTGAGATGCCACATAAAATACATGTGATCAGTGAAGTTCCCAGAGCTTATCACATGATGTTTGCTGTTGTGTCAGGAAAAAGCTCGAGCAGAAGTTACTAAATGCAGAATTGTATTTAGAGGTATATACTTTAGTTATTCCTGCAGCATTCATAATACTGAGCTGCAGTATTTTATACTCAGAAGCATGGAGGTGGGTTGCAAAGTGGCTTGTAGATATGCCTCAACTGTAGACGAGCACATGAGGTCAGTGACTTGGATGTGATGGGAATACTTGGCTGTCATATTTCCTTAGGTTTTTCATCTTCAGTTGAGCTGCTGCATACAGAATAAAACACCTGGGTGGTGTTGCTCTGGCGTGTAGCTCTTAGATTTACCAAGAGTGGCAACAATGTGTAATAGCTGTTTCTGTCCCCTATATTATTGTAGTTATAAAGAAAACAGGGAATTCCAAATGCTAGTTTAACAATTTAAATATTTTTTTGTGATTATGTCTTAATTATCAACATCATCAGTCTAGCTTTAACATCCTTTACACCCATATTGAAGTCTCTTCAATCACTAGCCTACAGCTTGTAAGAAATAATTATTAGTGGTTTGAATAAAAACAAACAAATTCAAAGTGAAATAAATTGTCAGTTTTAATCTAAATATATTAATATGCTGGATCTTCACATCAGCAGAGCCTGGTGTGGGATATTTCCTCTGAACTGAACATTGGGACTCTGTCCAGATAGTTTGGCCAGCTATGGGTGGCCCCCAGAGGAGGGTATAGACACAGCTATTCCAAAGATAGTGGGTGTGGAGATGGGACTGAGAGTACAGTGGTGGGGTTGTGGAGATAATAATGTTGGACCGCTGCTGTGATCACAGAGCCCCCCGTTTTGTCCTCATGAGCCACATTTCTCCTCCTTTCCTATAAGAGCTTAATCTACAGTCTGTACCACAGCCAGCGAGGGCCTTATCAGAGGGCCGGCATGTTCGCTTCGGCCTTGGCTCCGTTTCACTGGTCAAACCTGGCTGAATAGATACACACTCCATACAGATACAGTCACAAGTTCAAGCTCATGGTTTACTCTGAGAGCAATAGCAGTATCTAAATAGCAGTCTATAAAGCTTACGAGTATGAGGCTGTAGAACAAAACTATATCAGTTTCACTTTAACGATTTGCAGCATCAGTTCAAGAAACATGATCAGTTTAAGGCTTGTGATTCTTTATAGCCTAATAATCACACGTCTTTTTAATAGCTTTGTTTTTGGGCATTTAAAAATATGGAAGCAGCTTAGCTATGCTCAGCATCAACAATAAAGGGGAATGCAACGTATTTTACACATCAAAGTCTGTTTACAGGTGCTGGGAGGACTGTTGCATATGTGTGAACAAAGTTATATAAAGACTCGTGGCTCCAAAGGGAGCTGCACAAAATCATATAAAAGCACACGATTGATACTGCTTATTACTTGAGGCTAACTGTTTGGTGCAACATTAGATGTAAGTAACAGATTGTGTGACAGATTTGGAGACAAATTGGTTGGGCTTAACTTCTGGGCAGCAGTATTGTTCTTGAAATATTTGCTTTCAGCTTTGGAACAAAGCTGCTGCTACCTTTTAGGGAGGTGAGGGGAAAAAAATCTGGAAGCAAATGGGTGTATTCACAAAAGTACAATTTAATAATCTGAACACAAAGAAATCTGTATGTACAATCCTAAATAGACAGTATATTATAACCCTTAAAAAAGCTTTTCATGTCAAACTCTCAACCTTTTTTGGTTCCTCTGGATTCTAGACCTTCAGACATAATGGCATTCATTCCAGGAAATC